GAGCTATGGCTGAAATATGACAAGGAAAAGGAACAGCTCCATAGTTGTCTCATTAATTGGCTGTGCCTTTATGTGCTCTGTGCATGCAGGTGTAGTTAGGAGATGGTGATGACGTCTGAGATGCTTGCCTGCTATGCTGGCAACTTTTCTTCCTGTACTTTTTCAGTTGGTTCCTAGCAGGACTTGTAGTCCAAATGGTTGATAAGAGAACATTTATTGTCCTAATTTTCTTTCTTTTTTTCCCCAAAAAAAAGCATGTTTTTAATGGAAGTGTTGCTTGAGATAGGGATACTTGAAAAGGGTTTGGCCAGGCATCTGGTCTGTACTGGTATTGATTAAGTTATGCAGGTGTCAGTAGTATGGAGGATAGAGGCAAATTATGAAGGTCCTAGATCAGGAAAAGAAGTGTAACCAAGAGTGGAAGGAGAAGCTAGCAGGTTTTAAAGAGTTCTGTAAACTGTAGTTTTTGGGTTTTTTTTCATATTAAAATATCAACTTGGGCTAGGTTCCCATTCTCTTTCCTTAAAAGAGTGTTCAGGAAGAGTATTCCTTCATATTGTTTTGCTGTTGGTAAGAGTTAGTTGTAGAGGAAGTATTATGGCAAGTCTTGAGGGGTTTTTAATATTTGTTTGTTTCTAAGATCTCTGCTGTTTTGGGCATTGAATTTTCTAATTTTGTCATGTATCTGGATTAATTAAATTCACTGGCTTAGGTTTTCTAGAGTTCTAGTCAGAATTCTAGTTACAAAATTAAATATAAATACTATGCATTATTTCAGTACATTGTATTTGCTTTCTGCCATACAATTTTCCTTTCATACCTAATTCAAGAGAGCATTTCCCTACTTCGATGTTCACCAAATCATAACCACACGAAGAGGTTATTCACCACTTAGGAATGAAAGTCCATCTGTTAGTTATTATCTTTGCAGTACTGCAGCACTTCAGAATGAGTGCTTGGGAGAGACTTTAAATGCTGTACCCAGTCTTTGCCCCCTTCTAGGCATATGCAGATACCTAAGAAATGCTACCCTCTTTGGTCTGGTGAAAAAAAATCCTTTTTTCTTCCCATATGGTAGTGTAAGCTTGGTTGTGGATTTTTTGGACCAGGTCCAAAATAGATAGTGTGATTTATTGTGTCTGAGTTATGCCAAGTAAATACCTCGATGTTTCCACTCAGTTCTAGGAAGAAGAGTCATCTTTGTGTAAAATATGTGCAAGCATAATAATAAATGTCATTACACAAATCCACATTTTGGTAATATTTACAATTATTTAGATGGCTAAAACTTGTTTTTTCTCTTTTCAGTGTACAGAAGACCAAACTAAAGAAATAACATGGCTACAATTTATCTTTAATTCCAGATTGCAGATTTTTTTATTATTATTAAATAATAAAAAATTCCTGTAGATGACATTCAGGAAAACCTGATCAGCAGGGAATTTCCTGCTGTCTGAATTCATGGAGACAAGTTACGCCACGGCGATTATAGCCACAGGCTCTGTTTGAGGGGAACTTGTAACTTGTTGTGATGCAGTGACCTAATGTGGCATTCCTGCCTGTGCGAGACAGATTAGGAGACTGAATTGTTGAATTCCTGGAAGGTGGTGGAATAACTATAGATAGTGAAATGAGCCTTTGCAGAAACTCACAGATGCTATCAGAAGTGCAGAGACACATTAATTTGAGTATTTTGTGAAAGGTAACAACTGTTCGTACAGCAGATATAACGGTTTGTATGGGAACTGATGTGGGATTGCTGAATCTTGCTAAATTTTCTCAATTGTCACAATTTTTGGAGGCTTTTAAACAGCCTGCTAGCAGGCAAATTCTACTTAATTTTCGTTCTTCAAAAAGCAGTTATTGTTATTTCATTCCAGCTAAAATCAAAAGCGGTTGTCTAAGATCATCTCTTTGTGGTCCTTATAAATGGAGTCGTTTCTTGTTAAGAAAAAATCCAGGCCTATTTATTGCTTTGCGACATGGGCATAAAGCTTTGCTTGGGGCAAGAAAATAATCAGCAAAGTGTATTATTAAATAATGGGTGTTGTTCAGGGAGGCTGAGAGAACATAAGGAAGTGAAAGAGAAAATATGTGGAAAGGAAATACCAGGAAGAAAAGAAGATGGAGAGGGAACATGCAAAGAGAAGTCCTGCTAAATACAGGGATTAGGAAGCGATAGTGCAGACAATTTGCATGAATGAGACAGTGGGAGAAAAGAGAAAGCAGAGGGAGTTTTAAAAGAAACATGTGAAGATGGGTATTAAGGCAATGGTTTTGTTGGCATGGTCAGTTAGTTTGGAGCCAGGCTTATCGCAAATCCATCCTGGCATGAAGGGCTGAAGGAGCTCATTTAGGATTACAGCTTTGGCTAAGTAGTTTCCTTCAGGTGGTCCTGGAGTATGGAAGAGTCCAAGTGAAAGCATAGATTTACACTGGTTGTTCTTCATTTCACTGGGTTGTTAGTTGAAGTGCACAGTGAAGGATGGGTTTGAAGAAGGTTACAGCTCCTTATGGGTTCTTTTCATGCAGGCTATGCAATCTCAATGGTACAAAACTAGTGGGTAAAAGTGGTGATAAAAGGTATCTGGTAATATCTGATTGTGATGTTCTTCTTCTATCTCCTGCTTGTGGTGAGACCAATTTGCTGCACGTAATGAGTACAGGAAATTACAAGACTTGTACAAAAGGCTATTTAATTTTATTTTTCTCTAAACAGGTTTAGCCTTTTCATAAATAAAAATTAGAAGTAGATGTGTGTGTGTAGGTCTGGTTAAACCCAACAGGGCAGTCTTCTTTTGCCCATAGGTTTCTATTGCTCACGCTCTGATGTATGACTTTGTTCTAGTTCTGGGATGAAACTGGGAAGGTTTTTATCATGACCTTGTCTTTCTGAGATAGCCTGAAAAATCAATCTTGTTCAGGAGTTGTTCTTTAGTATACTTCAGAATTGATGTGACGAATAATAGTTTTATTTTGAGATCTTTTAAGAATGCACAGTCAAGTCAGAGCCTGACAGGTGGATTAGCAGAAAACCTCAACTAGCACTTGTGTATGAAGTAGAATGTGGTAGACTTAGGTCTTTTGGATAATATATACAGTAACAGACAAGTTTCAGTAAGAGAAGCATTAAGCCTCTTTGTTACATTCTTCCTGAAGTTTATGGCCCACATTACTGACTAAAAATTTAGATGCTTTTCCTGTCACTGTCAACCAATAAAATTTACTTCAACAAAAAAAGATAAAGCTCTGACTCAGTGATCTAACACTTCAGTAATTCACTATCATAAAATAGTTTTAAGTACAAATGTTTTATCTTATGCCAAGCTGGACGCTAAAGATGTTTTGTCTAAAATATGAGATAATGGAAAGTGTATTGTGGCATGTGAATTACTTTAGCCTCTTGGTGGTAAATGTTTGCTTAACCAGAAAGGAATGTGTTGAGGTCCTTGCCAAAGGAAGGTATTGCCATACTTTGCATTTAGAGTACTGTAAATAAAGCAGTAAATATGTTTCTGTTCATGTGTGTTAATCCACAATTTATGAATGCATTCATTCAATAAGACATGTAATGTACTGTTATCCCTTTTCAAGGATTTCAGTAAGAAGAGGTCATAATTACTTTGGCTTGAAAGAAACATGAAACCAAATATTTTCATGCTGATTTGAAGTTGAATATGAAAGAATTTTTGCTCAAACTAAGTTTCCTTTAAATCCCAGGAACTCAATTCCTGGTTTACCTCCAATATTCTTCTTGTGTGCTGACTCCCAGTGTACTGCTTTTAATCACACATCATTGTAAATCATGAAGTATATAATTTCCTCCACCTATCCCGTGTTGATTTTGGCAAAAGAAAACACAACTGTATAATATGTTAATGATCAGAGGAGGTAGAGCAGCTATGGGAAATACCCCACGTACTGCCTATAAGTATATTTTTATTTTGAACTTCATTTGCCCTTAGCTGATACATTAGCTTACTGATAATTTAATAATGCTGCATACAGAAAGTTGCATAACTCAGATTGCAGCGTAATAATATCAGAGCATCCTTTGGATGCCTCAGTTATGGTAAGTGAAGGCAGCAAGGCCCCTCTTTCAGAAACCTTTGAAATAATTCCCTTCCTTTCCACAAAATCCCACGTCCAGGTTTCTAGTTAAAGAGCTGGGAGAGAGCATTACAGTTTGAGAGAGTAATTGTGGAGAGGATGCTCAGTTTACTTTTCATTACCATGGTGTCATTTGTAATGTACCTGCTTTCACTCTCTGGGCTGAAGAGGAGCCCTTTGCTGGGGGGGGACTGCACATCCAGTCCTGTGCCTCTGGAGCACACACACATGTGGGGATTTCTGCAGGGAGCTTCTCACTGATGGTGCTGTGAGCAGAGATTTGTACCATCTTCTAGAAATCATTGCTGTGATGCTCCTGTATCAGAACAAGGATATCTCTCTTACAAAAACAGAGTTCTAAGTGCTCCAGTATACCTGTGCTTTAATAGTTGTTCAGATAAGCTTTTTATTTCATCTTCCTAGGGCTTCACTGGTAATTCATAATAAGGTACTGATAAATAAGGTACACTAGTAATTGAGTAAATTAAACCTGTAGTGTTAAAGCCCATAAGTAAAATATTAAATGTTATTTTCAATTTAGAATCAGATTTTGATAAATGTATCAATTTTGATAACCCTATGTCCTTACCTGACTTTTTAAAGATATTCATTAGGACATAATAAAACATACCAACCCTTAGAGAAATTTGACTTTCATTCTCCTTTTGTTAGTTATGCTTAGATATAAGGAAGGTTTAAAAAAAATATGTAGTTGGAGAATAATACTAGTTATGTAATTTTAGTTGTAAGGTAGTTCTTCTGGACATGGTATCAGCTGAAAATCATGTGGAATGCCAGAAAGCCTTTTACTTGTTTTCCCCCACACAGCAAATGTACATTATGTCCTTGCTAGTATTAAAATCCAAAGTAAACCTCCTGTTACTTTTAAGGTACAATGAACTGGATGCCAGCAAAAGCCTTCTAGATAATCTGAAAGGAAAAGTAATAATTGAGTATCCAACATTATTTGTGGTCTTGAAAACACTGAAGAATGACATGGTGGTCCTTGGCCAAGGTGAGCATATATTTATTTCCTGTTATGTTATACTTGGATATTTTAGTTATATAAACAGTACTTAAGAATATTGCAGGAATGAGCAATACGTATTATATTTCTTTCTGAAGCTTAAAGATTGCTATAGAAAAAGCTGTTATGAATGATCTTGTCTTAAAATTGCAGCCTGATGGCATACATCCATGAGCTGTATGGGATGTGTTTTTTCTTACTTTGTTTACTGGAGCTTTACTGAGGTTTTTATATATTTTTAGCCACTAAGGTGAAACAATTATTCAGACTCATGCTAATTTTTTTTATGTAGCAAAGTTTCACAGAGTTGATTATTTCTGAAGAGTCAGGCTGTCTGGCAAAGATGAATTTTAAACAAACCTGATAATCATGCAAAGGAATCATTCTCCATTATTTTCTAGCATAGCTTCTAACACTGGACAAATAATTCTGAGTCGTGAGATCGTTATTAGAAATCATAATGGGAAAGTCGCTTTTTGGGTGGATTAAAAGCACAGTGTTATCTTTTAAAAATTACTTTGCCAAGGGAGAACTTTGATCCTGGAGTTAATTTGGAAGAGAATCCACATTTAGCAGGAATTTGCTTTTAGTTTTTAAGTTAATTTACATTTTTCTTCTCACTATGAAGGTTTCATGTCCCAGCATCTGCTTCTGAAGCTGGAAAATATTCCAGCTGTAGAAATAGGGTATCAGTTCTCATCTCCTAGTCCCCCACCTAGTCACCTTAGTGATCATATCCCATAATTTTCAATGATGGGCTAGTGTCTAATTCTTACAGAGTTTTGCAGAAAAGCTTTGAGATATATTTGCAGTTACTGTTTCTCTGCAGCAGCTCAGTCATGGCTCTATTTATCTATAATTTGACTGATGAAATATGGGACTGAGAATATTGTACCAGTGCTGCTTGACCTCCATGGAGCTTGGCTGTTCTGGCTAGATTACACTGAGAGCAATCTGCACCCAAAGATGTGGCATGCAAAAATTCCTTGTGCAGGGGCTTCGGAGAGTGAGAGCACACCAGGGGATAAGGTAGGGGTCAGGTCTGAGTAAGTGGGCCCTGTGATACACACCCAAGTGTTGATTGAACAACGGTATTTTGAGGTTATGCTGCTGCAGCACCTACCTGACTCTGTAAAAGGCAGAAAAGGAGGGGAAGAGAGAGCCAGTAATAGCTGGGAAGTGCCAACAGCTCTGCCACAGAGCAGTGCAAGTGTCTGTCTTGAGGACAGTAACCTTCCTCTGCTGCAGGAATCGTTTGAGTAGCCATCCCTGCAGGGCTTCTGAGAACACTGACAGCCATTTCAGGTTTTGAGAACCATTGATTTTTGTTGTTGTTTTAACTGTTTCTATAGATTCCATAAGAATGAATTTAATACCTCCCAGTTAAGGTGTCTTGGGTATGACATAGCAAAAGTTACAGCTAATGGCAAAAATACCATGATTTTCACAACTTTTATCATAACATATTGTCATCTTGATTAAGATATTAATAATCAACTTTAGCCTTGAGTTAGGTTAGGAACCTGTGTTCTTGGTATTTTTTCTGTTCAGAGTAGAAGCATGTGACAGTAATTTCAGATTCTTTGAGGAAAAGCATGTTCACAACATAAATATAAAAGTTGGAGGACTTTTTTGTTGGTATTACTCTGCCTGAAGACAAAGTACCATTTTAGTTAGTCTGTCACAATCATTGTGCTTTTCTTTTGTGTGTCATCTTTACAGAATATAGGAGGGAAAAAACAGTTTTCAGTTTGCTTTAGCAGTTGCATTCACAAATAATTGCTAAGAGTGCAAATATTATGTTAACCTCCAGATTGTCCAGGGAGAAGTCTGTTGTAATCAGAGAAGTATTTTAGCCCCTTCCCATCTCCCAAGAAGTGACCTTTCTGCCACAGCATCTTCTGTGTTTGTTGCAGTCCAGTTTCTTTGCCACGTATGGCTTTCTGTATCAGTGGCCCTCTCCTCCCAGGCCATCCATCCTGCTGATCCTACTGCCATCAGTGCTGCCTTTCCTCTCTGCCTCCTGGCATGCCTGGGGGGACACTTATCCTGCTCGGAGCCTGGCGCTGACCTCCCTTTGCATTCCAGGCAAACAGCTGCCCCACTCCAGAGTGGACATGGGGCAGGGTGTCTGCTGAGCATGGGGACTCCAGCAGCCATAACCCTGCTGACCCTGTTTGCAAGGGACCCAGGCTAGAACAAGAAGTAAAGTCTTGGGATAATTGAATTGCCAAAATACTGTATCCTTCTTGAGCAATCTCAGATCTGCCCCAGGAACAACAGAATCAAGTTTTCATGGCCACAGCAACAGGTACATGCTAGGGAAACATCACCATTCTCCCTGAGATTCAAGTAGTAACCCCCAAGGACTGGGTGGTAGTTAGAGCTGGACTTCTTCAAAGAGAAGCTGCCTATTTCTCCTATTCTTCTTTTCAGAAATGGCTGAAGTATTTTGGCTGAAACTTTCAACTACATAAGGAAAATAAAGATTGAGGAAGGAAACTGACACTGAAAAACTCAGAGTTTAAATTTTACATTATGAGTAAACTGCAGACAGTTATATGGTGACATGGATTGGGCAGTCTTAATTTATAGGCAATGCTATCAGCACCATGCAAGTATACTTTTTTTAGTGAAGACAATCTGTAATTCCTGTTAAATATTACTGTAACAGAAGTAAAATCTGTTCAGCATTGCTGTGTGTCAGAAGATTGCCACATTCTTTTATGTGATGTTCTGCTGCTTGACTTGCTTAACAGCAAAAACTACAGGTGCTCTGATTTCAGCATACAAGGTCAGTCATGGCTGAAGATAGCAGGGGATTATGGAAGCTTTCACAGGCTCTACTTTTTGCATTACTCAGTACATATCTGACATATAAATGTTAATTGATTATACACTAGATTTAATATAGACAGAATGTGACCTCTGATGTTTCTGGGTGAAATGCTTCTATTTTCTTGAACAAATTCCTTGGAAACTGTACAGGTGCACACTGTGTCCTGTATATTATCCATGTTTTCCAGCTGTAGAACTTATCTTGACCAGACAGCTATACTTCATCAGTTCCCTTTTGGTAACATTCTCTTAATGAAAGCTCTGATACTAAATGCTCAAAAACATCTTTAAATTCATAGATCAAATACTGAAAATAACAATGAGAGCAGAGTGTGAATCATGGGCCTGCTTTGCTGTAGTTTATTTTTGTGCTGCTTGAGTGTCACCAACCAAGTGGCATTTGATGACATCAGCACAAGGTGACCAGGGTCAGGGCTTGTTAAAGAGGGATCTGTGGGGTGTGAGGCTGAAGACCAGTTTTGGAGATGAGAATTTCATTATATGATCTCAGCAGAGCACAATAGCTGTGCCCTAAAGCCTAAGTTATTATGTACCTTGAACTTCACCAGCCTTAGCTTATGGACTTACATAGCTTATAACTATTTTTGGGATGCTGGAACATCTGGAATTTTAATTTTCCATTTCCAGTTTCTCTGTAGTTCCACATCTTGACTGAAATGCTAAGAAAAGTGTAAATTATTTATAATTCATTACAGTTGTGATATATGTCTGTGACATCCCAGAAAACAGCATTTAAAACAAGCCAAAAGAATAATTTTAAATTCTCAGTAGACCTAGAGTTTTGTGGGGGATAAATACTCTGCCTTCCTACTTGACTGAAAGACCAAGATTTAAAAGGTAAAAGGAATTCTCAACATTGATTGTCTTGCTTTCTCCCTCAACAATGAGGTCCTATACAGGGCTTTATCCCATGTCATGAAAACTGGTTATGTCTTATGAAATAGCTGTCTTAAAGAAAAAAGTACTTAAGAGGAAAAGAAGATACAAAACTGCTTCTCTTTGATGAGCAAACAACGTTGCTGAAACTAATTGCTTGTTTGCTTTTTGTGTTCTATATCCTCAGATGGCAGTGAGCCTGCAGAGAACTCAGACAGTGAAAGCTCATCCCTTTCATCTGTGGAAGATGGAGAAATTCGGGACAGTTCATGACAGTTCTTTGAGAGAACAGGATGGAATGAGCTTTTTTTTATTATTATTTAATTAAATTTTTTTGATACAACTAAGTTCCCAGAAGTCTGGCATAACTTCCTTTACTTAAAGGTAGCGCTCTCAAAGTGCTTGACTATTTTTGGATTTAATAATGGATATTCAGGAATGTAAATAAAAAGATGGGGAATTGTGGTCCCAGAAAAACAAAAATATTCTAATTTAATTGTAGTCTTTAATTGCATCATTTTTCCTTTTTCCCTAACCAGCTCAGTGCCAAATGTTTGGGTTTAAATATCTGATCATATATTTGTATTTATATGTTGATTTGAGTCTTAAAGTACAGTTATTTCATTAGATCAGTTTCCTTTTACAGTATTTCTGTGTAACACTGAGCTACTGAAAATGGTCTTATGTTACTTTTGATCTTCTTTGGTGACCTTTTGGGTGTATGATGCAATACTAATTTTTTTTGGTTCCTTACTTGGTTGCATCTTTTTCCACATGTTAATGGAGGCTTCTGGACTCTCAGTCTGTGATTCAGGGCACCAGACTGCTGTGTCCTCACCAGTCATGCTGCATGGAGAGGATTTTTGAGATATTCAAAGTTTTAGAAGGGTTTTTTTTTCCCTTGTAAAGAAATTTGAGTTAATAAGTTGTGTACCATGACAGCTCACTACTAAAGTTTGGCCAGAGTGTCAGACCTTTGTAGTCACATACTACTTTTCCTCCCAGTGGTATCATGTGTCCTTTCTCTTGTGTGTTTTGCAACCTCTGGTGAAACAGGAAAGTTTTTCTTCTTGCCTGGCAGTAGCCACCTGTACTCTGTTTTCTTTCTTAGTCATTGTTGGTCCTCTGCCCACCTCTTGTTTCAACATTTGTTTCTTTAACCCTTTTTAAAGGACCAAGATTCCTAGCTATAGGTGCTGCTTTCATATCTTTTCAGTTCAGTGAAAGTGAATAAGCTTTTCCTCATCAGTGATTGCTGCACACTGACTTGGTAGCCACAAATTACTTTAGGCCAGTCTTGAACTCATTCATAGTAATACCAATAAAAGAGCCAAACAGCAAAACTGCCACAGTTCATTTGCCAGAAAATGTTTCATCTGGAGTAAAAGCATGGCACTTCTATTGGATTCAGAGCACAGTGAAAATGAGAGTGCTGCAGGCAGTAGTGTTGATCTGCATGTGTGTGTGATCAGTCTTTGGCTGAGGAGCACAGATTTGTGATTTGCGTTACTTTTCCTGTGTTCTTGGGGGGTTTCATTAATTGTACAAAAGGGGTTGCCTCTGGGGTTTTTTTCTTATATAAATCTACCTTAAGCTTCCTTGTGAGTTAAACACAACATTATTTATTTTTAAATGAAGATGCTGTTAAATCTGTCCTTCAGATTTACCTTAAAGAAGGCTTTAAAACTTTATTAAGGAGCATTCCTGTGGTGGTTACTAGAACTGAAATTTCCCAGACAAAAGTGGGAATAATCTCCCAGAGTTCAGTCAAACTAAAAGGTATTATTTGCCATTCTTTCCTAGGTTCTACTTACCTGTTTTTACAGTTACAATAGTTTGAACAGAGGTGATTGATCAAATACAAACTAAAATCCAATCCAAGTATTTTATTCAGTTTTCCTAAGCTTCTTCAATTTTTTCTTTATAATAAATCAAAATTCTTCATATTAGTCATAATTCTTCATCATAATGAGGTTCTTTATTTAATCAAAGTTTATGCACTGTTGTGCTAGGCAGATGTTTTTTAACACTTTCATAGGCAGTTAAGGAAAGTTCTTTTTTTTTTTTTTTTTGAGTGACTTAACATGGAACAGGCACCTTGTAATAAACAGAAGAGAGAAAAAGCACCTTCTGTATTTTTTAAATTTCTGGTCAAGAACTGGGAATTTGAGACATGGAGCTGAGGCTTCCTAGAGGGCTTCCATTCTGTCCATTTTGAAAACATACTATTGTAGTCCTATTACACACAGATCCCTACAGGACTCTGCCTTGATTCAGAACAGATCATGTCTGTGAATGAGAACTGTGTGATGTTGTTTTAATCTTCGTCATTCAACACCAGCTTGCATTGAGTGCTTGATTTTATGCCTACTATGCTTACTCATTTATTTTCCTCTATAAACTATTTGTCACAGAAGGAACAAGCTATTTCTGTGTAGGGTTGTTACAGCATTTCTTTCAATGTTTAGACTTTTAAGCATGCTTGAGCTGAAGGACTATCAGCTTACAAAGAGTAAAGACTCTTGTCCTGAATGAAAACACTATTTAAAAAAATTAAAAGCTTAATGATGTCATCCCTTTCACAAACCTTAAAGGACAAAAATAGAGCATAGCTAAGCACACAGCAATAGCTGGGAGGTAGGACTGAGTCAGCCGTGGGAGAGAACTTGATTCTTTTCCTTTTTTGTATAACTTCCTGGGGGTATGAGGCATAATTGAGTTGTCATGGGTAAACAGTGTTGTACCCCCTGTCAGTGTAACAGCTCCGTTTTGAATGAACACATTCGAATTCTAAGTTTTGCTACATTTATCTTGGCATTAGGAATTGTTGATCCGTAGAGGAAAAGAGGGTCATGCCACAGAATGTGTGGCTGGCACTGGTCCTTGGAGGCATGCTGGACCAGTTTTTGTTACTCCAGTCAACAGTGCAGTTTTACTCTGCATTAGAGGAAAGTCAGTGCAGAACGTGGACTCTAGTCTGAAGCAGTACATGGATTTCTAAGTTCATGGGAGTGCTGATAGCAAGTCCCAGCTACGTGTTGTGTATCAGCATAGCTGGGATTCAGTCCTTGCCCTGCCAGATACGGCTCTCCTCTGTTGACATCTGTAGGAGCTGAGAATGTATAACACTGTGCAAGAGCAAGCTTTCCATGTGTAAATATACAGCCATCATGATGGAGCTTCAGGCCCTGTTTAGTCACAAACATTTCATTCTGCTTGAGGTTCCACACTCTTTTCCTGAAAACATTTATTCTTCTGCCCCTCCAAAGGAAAAAATATCTTGAATTGATGTTTATGTTGTTGCTATGACATTCAGTTAAACTGTGTGCAGATGCAGATTCTGTTAATAAGAGAAAAAGAAATGAACTGTGTACTTCAGTGAACAAAGATTACACTGTGTATTAAAATGTTGCTATGGTAGTGCATATGGTTTTATTTGCTGGAAATCTGTGGTGAAATGGAAAGGAGTCACATGTATGCAAGACAAAAAATGGCAGCAAAAATAACTCAGAAGAAATACTGAAACTGAAAGGGAAGTTACAGATGCCATGTAAAATCAGGTAAAAAGAGGGGCAGTTGTTCTGCTATCTGTCTGTGATTTGATAACAGAAGTGTGTTCTCATTATGCCCCAGCAGGTCTCAGAGACCCATAGTACAGTGATTTTGCTCTAGTCATGTTTTTGTAGTGAGACCTTTCCCTCAATGGCCCTGTGCATTGTAGCTTTTTTGTTGTTGCTTTGGAAGCAAAGTCCCCCATGCCTGGCCTGATTTCACTGCTGACAACTTTTCCTGCAGAAAAGCATTTTTAGCATATCTTATTACAGTAGGCTTTTTTTTTTTTTTTGGCAGGAAAAGTCAATAGGGTGATAAAATATGGAAAGCCACTAGAGCTTTGCCTACCTTTAGGGTAAGGGGAGGTCTTTGTGAATTTGTGATAGAAATGGTGGAATTAATTCCTTTTTATTTGACTGTCACAGTAGTCCTTGTACTTATCTAATCCATTTGCATGAGACTTCTTTTTGCATCAGCTGCATCAGTACAGCTGTTCAAGTGGTTGCATGGCAAATCAGAACGAGGTCAAAATAATCTGCCAGAGAAGGAAGAATAGAAGTGAGAAGGGAGAGGGAGTCTTTTTTTACAGAATAAATGACTACACTTGGAGCTAGCTGGTTCCTACATCATTTTAGCTGGTGGAAAGCAAAACTATTTTTACAATTGCATTGCCACTTTCTTCCCGTCATCCATGTTCTGCCTCAAAGAGAAAGAAAGAAATGACTGTAAAAGCTTCTTTTGCCTTTCCATTCCTTGCTTCCACATTCTCTAGTGGGTTTGTATTGTAGTTCCAGAAACTTGTCAGTTTTGGCAAGAGTGCCAATAGGAAGTTGAGCTGTGCTAAAGTGAGTTGAGATGTAGATACTAACAAAAAAGAATGGATGGGTGGCATTAGAAGCCTCACCTCAAGTGCTGGGGGCAGCTTTGGGTGCCACAGTGTAAGAAAGACATTAAACTATTAGAGAGTGTCCAGAGGAGGGCAACGAAGATGGTGAAGGGCCTTGAGGGGAAGCTGTGAGGGCAGCTGAGGGCACCGGGTGTGTTCAGGCTGGAGGAGGCTGAGGGCAGAGCTCACTGCAGCCACAACTTCCTCGTGAGGGGAGGAGGAGCGGCAGGGTTGATCTCTGCTCAGGGACAGTGACAGGAGCCAGGGCACGGCCTGAAGCTGAGTCAGGCAGGTTTAGGCTGGGTATCAGGAGAAGCCTTCACCCAGAGGCTGGCTGGGCACTGAGCAGCTCCCCAGGGCAGCGGTTACAGCATCAGCCTGAGAAGCACAAGAAACGTTTGGACAATGCTGTCTGGCACGAGGTGTGACTCCTGGGGTTTCCTGCACAGGGCCCAGAGGTGGACTTGACGATCCTGCTGTGTCTCTTCCAGCTTAGCATTTTTGTGATTCTGTGATCAAATTCTCAGTGGTATCTCTTTGTTGACCTTTTTTCCCAGCCTCTACTTTCAGCTGTGCTTGGGCATCCACATTGATTTTAGCAGCATTATTTCACTACAGCACAAATACCTGTCTCTGTAGAGAAAAATGCATTTTCCTGTTTCAGATTCCTTACTCTGCTGGTTTTATAGCCATGGCATCTTGATGTCTGATTGTGTCAAGTTAATAGACTAAGTAGGAGTTCTTCTCAAACCTTGTTGGTTTGAGATGCTGAAGGAAATGAGTTGTTTCAGAGGAACTGGTGTCTTTGAGTTGGCTGGTATACTGGGCTTCTTTTGATCTGACATTCAGTGATCTCAGAACACTGCTGGGCTACTGCTGATTGTTTCACTCACTTAAAAGGAGTCCCCTGATTCTGATTGAAACTGCCATTTGTCAGGAAATAGTTAATGTGTATGTCCCAGCTGGATTCCCATCTGGGCAAATGTGTTCACCCCACCTTTGAATTTCTTTTGACTAGAAAATGAAAACTTACAAAAAATTGTGTAATGTTTTCGTCCTGGATGGTTGTTGCATTCCATCCCATAAGTGGTTGTACTTCAAGACAGATGAAGTTGCTTATGTGAATGGTGCCTTGGGGTCTTTCAGGATCTTCTCCAATATAAATTGTGTACACAGAAGTCATAGCTGTGTAGTTTTATGGGGGAAACCATAGCATAGTGGATGCTGTCTATTCAGTTTCTTGGTGTTATGTCTTTACAGCATGATAGAGAGATGCTTATTGTATCATTCTGTTGGTTGGAGGGGTTTTTTGCGGGATTTATATTTTCTAGATAGAAAGTCTCACTGCAGTTTAATGCAGTTTAGTTGTCTGTGCACTGGAGTGCATTTCTAAGTACCTCCAAAGCTAGTTTTATGTTACTGCTTTCACTGTGACACCTCCCTGTTTCTTGTGCGGTTTTAATTATGGCTATGTAATATACAGGAAAAAACTGAAGGTGAAAACAGGGACATGTCTACATGAAAGGAACTGGCTTGAAGCAGAGCAGCTGGTAAAACTATACAGCCTTCCCTTGCTGTGTGCTGAGCACTTGGAGCCCTGCATCTAAATAGTTTCACTGATTAAACAAGTGAGCTAAATTGTGCACATTCATTTCTGCAGGATAGGGCAAGCATCTGGCAAGAGCAAGCCTCTGGTGTGACACATTTAACTGCTTCTATGTAGGTAAGTAGGTTTGACTTCCAACCAGGAAACGCTTCCCACTGCAAACTTTTTTGTTTCAGTCCTCAATACGTGTGAGGGATTTATGCAGCTTCAGTGGGCTGGAAATCCTCCTGCAGCAATCCCAGTGGTCACAGGGTCACTGCCTGTTCCTGCCAGCCCAGTGGCTGCCCGTGAGTAGCAGGGAGATGGGGCCTGTTCCCAGTGTCGGCTGCAGGGTCAGGGAGCCCCGGGGACTGATGTGTGGATAAAGAGATTCGCACAGCGCCGTGAGGGTTCAGTAGTGACTCGGTTGTGCCACTGTCAGTACGGTACAGCTTTTCCTGTCAGATCAGTTCAGCTCTTCCTCCACCTGCTGCTGCTTCACGGGAGCGAGCTGGCAGCATCCCGCAAGGACTTTGTGTAGCCATGGAAGTCTGTGTGTTCCTGCTTTTGTTTTGTTCCTGTCATGGAGCGCTTTGTGGAAGCTGAAACTTTGTCTTCACTGTGTTGCCTTCAATAGTAGGGGAGATTTTATGTGTAACCTCGGCCTTATAGCGCTTGCCACCTGAAGGAGGTAGGCGCGCGGAGTGAAGCTGGCGTTGCTCGGTGCTCGGCCTGCAGTGCGGGGCGCGCTCCTTGCGGCGGCAGCACGGGCCCGGCGAGTGCCCCGCGCCCTGCGGCGGGCGCTGCCGGCGGCTGGGAGGGAGCGGCCCGGACCGGGACACGGAGAGGGGACAGGCACAATGCCTGGAGCACGGCTGCGGTGCAGGGGACAGGGCTGCAACCTGCGCTGAGGGCTGAGGCAGTGCCACTCCCTCCTGGCATGTCCGGACTCCCCCGGCTCTGCCCAGCTCCAGGGAGCTCCACACAGTGCTGGAGGCTTTAGTTTCAGGGTTTGAATTCGCTCCAAATGCACAGCTTTTTGTTATGTACATTATTTATCGTGTTCCTAACTCATCTAGTATTCCTCTGGAAGCAGGGTATTTTTGTTTTTGACAGGAAATACAGTTATAGTTGTGCTAATTTCTTTACCTGTAAGCCCTACTGCTTCACTTACTGGAATCTGAGTTTATAATCCTTTATATATCCACACCTACTACTTAGGGTTGTTTTTGTTTTTGTTTTTTTTATTCTGTTGGAACAACAGCAGATGTAGAGGTTTCAAAGCAAGTACAAAGATGACACACAAAAAAATGACAGTGATTCCCTTTATAGTGTTGTAAAATTAGTTTTGCCATGTAATTGTGAAATGCAAAATAGAAGAGAGGACTATATGGACGATGACCCGTTGGTGTGACAGCTCCACTTTGAAAGACTTGTAGGTTTTTTAGTGGGATTCATTTTACTCTTTTTATGTCAGGATAACTTCACTTAGCATATTTTATGTTTAACGGATCTGCCTCTGCAGCCCTTATTCTCCCAACAGCACATATTTCCAGTGAGCAGGATACAGAAGCACCCCTTAAGATGGACAAACCAAAGCACAGGTTGTAACCCGGGGCCTGGCTAAGGCACACTCCGGGCAGGAGTCGCAGGGCCACTGTCTGTCCATGACGTGTGTGTCACAGCTGTGGTCTCTGTGTGCAGCACAGTTTCACCCACCTGTGATCCTCGGGGAGCTGTGACTTACGCTGGTGTGAGATGGAAGTCATTCAGGCGTGGGGGACATGGCGATGGCAGGAATGCCCTGCAGCCTGCTGGGTGTCTGGGAGCAGGGCATCCTCTTCCTCGCCCGACAGTAACCCGGTGTGTAAACCCAGTGGTTCCCCAGCGAGCAGCTGATGTTGGGAAGTGTTCAGTGCTAGACCTACACAGAAGCCAAACAAAAGTGCCTCCTTGCGTTTTACCCTTCTGCTGTCAACAAATACTGTACAGACACGTTGAGGTACAGCTGAGACTGGTGGCCAGGTGTTGAATTCCAAAACAGCTCAACTTTTGAATGCCTTCGGGGAGAAAACTTGACTGAGCAGAAAAGAGGGAAGGCTGTAATTTCTCAGATGAAGCATTAGCTGCCAGAGATAAGCTTCTGAGATATTTGGCTATTTATTTTATTGAGATATTTATGTCTATTTAATAAAAAATTGACCCTTAACCAATTCTGCTTGTAACCTGTGACACTGGATGACACCCTTTCACAATTCCAAAACCTCAAAATGAGTCTGTTTTCCTTACTAATGATAGTGGGAGAATATTTTGACAGAGAAATATCCACACAAGGAGAAGAAAATAATACCCTGTTGCAGGTTCCCTGTCACTCTTATCTGTCGCACAGCTTTAGGCTAACCAGAAGTGTACAATGTTGGATGCCTTCTCAGATCCTGCTCTAGTTCATTTCTTTAAATGTAATTTTTTTACTGCATGCCAGCAAGCTCCCTTCCTTAGCCAAATGTCATCTGTGTCCCACATGGTAAGTGTAATTGCATATTTAAAAAGTGGGAAGGGGAAGTGAGGGAAAGAGTAGCTCCCTTGCTTTCTACTCTATGGGACTAGTACTTGAAATTCCTCACATTCTTCTCTTGTTAACAGTATGTTTACTTTTCATCACTGTGTTATTAGGATTAACAAAAGTCATTGCTTCAAGCTCATTTAATTTGAATTTAGTGAAAGCAAACTACCTCCTGCAGCCTGTAGGAAGCATTCCTTTGCCATAGAAATGTATTAATTTGCAAAAAAGCAGCCACTAAAAAGCGTGAGACCTGATGACCATTTTCACCCCAATGTTCAACATCACCGTGCATGCACTGCATTCTAATGAAGTACCTTATGTTGCAAATTCCAGGACAGTTTGAATAATCTAACAGTCTAATTAACATTTCAGTCTATCAAAGATTTGCATTCAGTGCCAAGAATCTCTTTATATGTATACTTTCTAAAGCATGGGGTTGCAGACTACAGACATCCCTTCAAAACATCATTTATCTGAAGAATTAGACTTGGCTATTTAGTCCATTTCTGCATCTGCAGTAGAACTTGCTTTAACTTTCAGAGAATCCAAACTTCTCAGAATTCAGTCTTCACAGAAACCTCTTGCATAGGCAGTATTTAAGCCTGTTGCCTATTGGAATGCTCTACTAAGAGTAGTTAGGTAAATATTTCTTTATTAAATGATTAATTCCATAAATAAATTCTTTTAATTCATTGAATATAAAATTAAAATCATTTACAACTTATTCCAGTATTACAGGGGCTGGAAGGGGTAAAAAAACCTCAGAGGAAACAAACAAACAAAAAGCTACAGTTCGATAAATAAAATACTCAGCTTTAAAACAACTGATTTCTGTTTGCCATTAAACTACAGTTGGTACATAATAGCTGCCACTGTGAACACCCCACAGGTGCCCACCTCAGGAAGGAATGTAACTTCCAACTTAGTTGGGAAAGGGTGGGAGAAGACTGAAGGAAGGGGAAGAAGCATAGTGTTAAACTGAACAGGATAGAAAAGTTTTCATAACCGGAACAAAACATTAATCTGATCACTTACAAACAGAAAACAGTATATAATTAGATAAGGTGCTCCAAAAAGAAGCAGTAAAGTTGCTCCAGTATTATGAAGCTTTAAGTATGCTTAAATCTCTGTTGCATTAGTGTCCAGTTGCACAGTGCACTCCTGTAACATCTTGATGTTGCCCTCAAATGGGCAAGGCACCACTTCCATCAAAAGTTCTTCCTCCGTGGCTGGGTACTTCAGAATTCTGTTTTGCATCCCACCCCCAACACAAGTTAGTCCCTAAATTTATGAATGTCATTGACTAGTCTGTAGTAGGGGTAGGCTTCATTGGCATGCGGGCAGTTGTAGCTGCATCGGCAGGACTGGATCATCATGACACTCTTGGTGAAGGTTTCCCCGTCATCGCAGCGGAACCTGACCTTGACAGTCCTGGTCTGCTGGGGTGTGCAGCACCTGCCATCCACGCAGGAGCCACAGTACTTGGGCCGGTACTTCTTCACACTGGAACATCCAGCATAAGTAAACTTCACCGGGGAGGGAGACTTCCTTGTCTTGGTACACTTCTTTCCCTTCTGCAAAGGAAAGGCAATAACATTATTAGCAGGAGATCTTTTTTCCAGCCTTTACCCCCTACCTGAAGCAGCTTAGAGAAAAGAGGAACACCAGAAGAGTCTGTATTTACCTTTAGGGAGGCATAGCTGGGCTGGCCACATGGCCTCACTTCACATATCCTGGTCTCCTTGATGAGCTTGCAGTCAGGATTGTCATTTGTCACCCTTGTGGAGATGCCAGTTCCACACGTCTTTGAGCACTGGGACCAAGAGGTTGTTTGCACAATGCATTTGGGATTCTCAAAAGTTCGGCTTTGTGGCTCAGATCCAAAAACTGGAAGAGAAAAGGAGGGGTTAGTCTAAATATAGTCTCTCACTAGGTTTCTTTCCCTTGGGGTCTAAGGGGTCCAAGGTCTAGCCCCCCTCTAGCCTCCTCCCCTTAACTGTCAGCCAGATAAACCCACACTCACCGGGTAGCATTTTCAGGCCTCCCTTCACAATGGCAATTAGCTCATTGTTCCTGGTTAATTCGCCTTCGGAATCATCCGGACCAAACTCTTCGCTGAAAAAGCTTTCCAGCTCCTCCAGTGCATCCTTGCTTTCGTCACAGACCCACTCCTCACAGCACTGCCCGGGCACTTTGACCAGCCTGGGGCTGGAGCAGCCCAGGTTGGGAAGAGAGAGCTCCTGCGGGCAGAGCGGGATGCAGCCCACAGCTCCATCTATGCACGTACACTGGTGTTTACAGTTCGGCTGGAAGCTCTCGCCGTTCTGGTAGATTTTGGAGTTATATTCACATGGTCTTCCCTCGGACTGTGCTGCAGAGATCAACGAGAAGGGAAAGAAGGGGGTGAGCGGCGGGAATCGCTGGTTTAAGCACAGGTATTTGCTGGTCTGTTAAACTCAATGTACGGCGGAGCTCCCTACAACCCCCCGGGGACGCGGGGCCAGAACAATAACTTAGTCAGGAATCACTTTTCCTTATGTGCGTTTAGCGGAGCCCAGACATACTGAATCGCATTCCAGACTGCTGAAGTCATGTGCCTTTCTGCCAAGCTACCGACAACAAAGCATAACCATACATGGGCTCGAAATTACCGAACCCCGGCACCGCGGGGCGCGGGGTCCGTCCCGGGGGAGCGGGGTCGCCGCTTACCTCTGCAGATGCCCTTCAGGGCGGCGGGGCTGGCCCCGAAGTTGCACTCCAGCCCCTTGGTGTGGTCGCAGGGCTGCGATCGGCTGCAGTCCTCGTTCAGTTGCTTGGCGCAGACCTTGCAGCAGCCGCAGCCGTCCGGCACCAGCCCCACGCCCGGGGCGCACTGCGGCGTGGCCGCCGGGCACTGGCACACGGCCGGGCAGGGCGAGCCCAGAGCCTGCGGAGCGGAGCGGAGCGGCCGGTGAGCGCCGGGAGCCGAGCGGGGCCACCCGACCCGCCTCCTCTCCCTCCCTCTCTCCCGGAGCGCGGGGAGACCCGCGGCACTTACCAGGCGGGCCAGGCAGAGGAGAGCGGCCGCCAGAGCGGGCCGGGTGCCCGCGGAGCCCATGTCCAGCGCCGGTGCAGGGGGAGCCCGTGGGAGCGCGGAGCGGGAGCGCGGCCGGCGCGGTCTGAGGCGGCGGCGGGCGCCACCGCCTTATATAGGGCGCGGGGCCGCCGCGTGCGCCGCGGCGCTGACGTCGCGCGTTCCGGGCCGCGGCCGCGTCCAGCGCTCGCGGCATCCCAGGAATGCGGCTGGCGCGCGCCCGGCCGCCCCGCCCCGCCCGGCCCCGGCCCCGGGCCCGGCGCTGCCGCGGGGGGCGCGAGCCCGCTCCCCGGCACGCGCGGGCCGCGCCCGTTCCCGCGCGCGGAGCGGGGCCGGCACCGGCGGGGCCGCGAGCGCCGGGGCCGTGCCGGTGGCGCCCCGCGACCGGCCACCTGCGCGGGCAGCGCCGGGAGCTCCCCGGGCCGCCGCGAGCGCCCGCCGCTGTGACACGGCCCGCAGGGTCGCCCCGCCGTGCCGGGACTCGCTCCGTGCTGCTGCTGCCGTGCGAGCGAGCGTGCGGGCGATTCCCGGCGCGGCGGAGCCCGGGAGCCGGGATTTGCCCGGCGGCACGGACGGGCCCGGCTGCAGGCCAGGAGCGGGATGCCCACGCAGCGAACAGCCCCCCTCGGCCTGTGTATCCCCGGGCTCTCTGCCCCCCACTCAAGCTGGGCGCCCTTGAATTGTATCGCCTAGTTGAAGTTTAATATTTGGGGATAGGGAGGAGAGTTTCGGCTTCTGTTGTGGCGTCTTTTCTTTTCCTAGCTGTAAGTACTTCCAGATGGGATTTAGACCCCAGACGTAACAATATTTCCATATTTGGTATAGCAGTAGCCCGCATTTTTCACATTTTTCTGCTCTGTTATCCAACCACAAAGCATTCTTGACAGCTTCAGATGTTGTTAAATATAGCCTTAACTTCTGTTCCCAGGGCAGGAAATTCTTTGGAATTCCTGTTTTTCACGCAATCTGTCTATCATGATTTAGGAGAACTCTGCTGGAGGAGCCAACTGGCGTTCTGCTGCAGCTCGCTTCTTTATTGAAATAGCCCAGCAGTTGGGTCTGCTGCCCAAAGGCGCTACAATGAGTCCCCATTCCAGGGATTTTTCTTTGCAAATTAGATTACTGTTCCCAACACAAGTTCGGGGTTTTTCTTGTCGCCTTCAAGGCTGGAAGGTAGAGAAGCTTATTCAAGAAAGAGGCAAAAGCTTGCAAAAGCCCCTCCAAAGGCCATGAAAAGTGGAGGGGGAGAGGGCGAGTGGGACAGCGAGTGGGGGGATGCGGAGAGGAGGGATGTGATTAACCTGGCTGCGGCATTCCCGTACAGCGGGACGGGCAGCCGGGGAGGGGAGGCAGCCGCAGCCCCGCCGCTCGGAGGAGCCGAGCGCGGTCGTCTCGTCGCCTGCCCGGTGCCACGGCCCAAAGGGTGACAGCAAGGACGGTGCGCAGGGCTCCGGTAAGTGCCGCTCCCGGGGCCGCGGGCCCGTGTGCTGTTCCCCGCGCATTCCCACACCAGCGGGAATGATGAGGCGCCTTGTGGGACCCTGCCGGGGCCGCAGGACGGGGCGGCGGGAGCGCTGCGGTGCTCGGCGGCAGCCACGGGTGGTCTCGCCCCGCCACCGCGCACCTGCCGCTGCCGTGAGGACAGCCCGGCTGTGCCCGGCTCTGTCCCCGGCTGTGTCCCGGCTGTGCCCGGGCTGTGCCCCGGCTCTGTCCCGGCTCTGTCCCCGGCTGTGCCCCGGCTCTGTCCCCGGCTGTGCCCGGGCTGTGTCCCGGCTGTGCCCCGGCTGTGTCCCCGGCTGTGCCCGGGCTGTGCCCCGGCTGTGCCCGGCTCTGTCCCGGCCCGGGCGGGATGGGGGCTGGGGCGAGGCGGGGTGGGCGCTGTGCTTGGGGCAGCCTGTCCCGCAGGGGGATGCCGTGACCCCGGGGACGGGGCGGTGCCGTGGGTGTCCCGCAGGGGACAGGATGACGCTGCCTGCCCGGCTGCGCAGCCCTGCTCCTCCTCCTCCTGCTCATGCTCAGGGATGTGCCCCGGCCCCGGCCGTGCCCGGCACAGGGGCTCATGGCCTCAGCACTGCAGACCCTCCTCCCGGCCCCTGCCCGGGCCAGGCCTGATGGGGAGTTCCCGTTTTAGGGTTCTTCCCCTACTCCATGTCTTGTCTTCAAGGTTTTCTTTTCATTCAAGTAATTTGACTTGACGTTTTACCTCGTGGTGGTCTGGGGACTTGGGAAAGGTGTTAGGATGAAAGCTCCAAGAACACTTTGCCCAGAACTTGCGCCTCAGAAAGTGGCAGTGGTTTTGTTCATTTCTTGTATGCCTCAAAATTTGGCCAGAAAAAAACACAGCTGAGAGGGAAAACCAGTCCTTACTGATTTGCAGCTCTCTGGAGACTGCCAATATGTACTATGCAGTGCCATTTCTGATGACAGAAATAATTTTGTGTGTCCATCAAGAATTGGAGAGAGACTACCAGCAAGCTTTGATGGTTGCCACTTATGGCAATAATGATTCTCCATTATACTGAATTAGCTGAGCCCCAGCTGGTGACAAGGAGGAGCAGGGCTCTAGACCTCAAGCTGTCCACTATGCTGGTTTTCTCTTAGTTTTACAGGTGTATGAGTTTTTCTGTGGTACTTTAGTTTTAAAAATCCAAAGTGCTTTCTTAGATGGGAAATCTGACTGCTAGTTTTTTCCCAGTATAACTCTTTACACAGCAGCATTATGGTGAGGAGGAAAATGCTTGTGATTCAACACCTTGATTAATGAAAATTTTCAAAAAATTTAAAAATTTTTGAAAAAGAAGAAGCTAACACACTATTGTATGTGTAAATTGGCCAGTTTTGCTTTTCAGGGATTTATGCAAACACTTAGTTGTTTAATTACATTTAATTTAAGGACATGCACCGAGCATTTTTCTTTGATCTATGACTTTCACAACATTCAGCAAATGCCACAGGAAAAGTCAATGAATAGTGCCTTTTCTCACTTGGTTTCATGTCTTACCACACATTCATACAACTTTGATGGGAAACTAACTGAACTTACATTTGCTCAAGAAAAGGTCACTTCAAAAGCTTCGAAGAACCTTTGAACAAACCTGTCCTGAATTTCAAGTAGTTGACAACACTTGAGATAGGTTGAGTTTGTTTGGAGTTCAGGTTAGACTGTGACCCTTTCCCTGCACACAATTCCTTGTCTCAAACCATGACCCAGCATTTGCACTCCAGGCTGTGCCTACATATCCTGGACGTACGTCAGGAACAGGAAGAAGTTTGGGGTATCTTCCTTTTTCAGATTTTGTTCAGTGTAATGTTCCAGAACTTGGTTTGCCTACTAGGAAATAGCCCCTGCTTCATGTCACAAAGAGTACTGGTTTCTCACTTTTCGTGCTGTAGGGAATCACTGGGACCTTGGCTGATGCAAAGCAGGAATTTGACGCTGTTGGCTGACATAGCAGCCATTACAGATTTACTGAGTATATCCTGTCATTTTCACAGGCCTGTGTCTCTCCAGAGAAAGGACTTTCCAGAGAAACAAATCAAGAAAAAATAACTGACTTAATTTCCCTCCACCCAGCAACAGTTCTTCATAGCTGTACACAGGGACCATGGAGCAGCAAGAAGGGTTGTGTGGGACAGAGGCTCCTCGGGTGCTCCCACTGGCAGTAAGTATCCAGCCCCAAACTGGAACACACCAGAAGTTTACAACCATGTGAACTCTGGAGAAAAATCTTAATAACTCTTGCATCCAGCCCTCTTCTGTGCTGTGTTTAATTTGCTCTTTCTCTTTTTCCGATCCATTGCTGTGTGTTTCTTCCATCTCTCCTACCTTTTCTTCTCTTTTTTGCTGTTCCAGTATTTTCACCACATCCTTCCCTCTTCTGCAATGTCCTGATTTTGGCTGGGATAATTTTCTTCCTAGTAGCTGGTACGTTGCTGTGTTTTGAATTTAGGGTGAGAAGGCTGTGGATAGCACACTGTTTCAGTTGCTGCTGAGCAGTGCCTGGACTAAGTTGAGGACTTTTCAGCTCCGCTCCCCAGCCCACCAACAAGTCTGGGAAGCACAAGAAGCTGGGAGAAGACACAGCAGGGACAGCTGATCCCAACTGGCCAAAGGGATATCCTGTATCATATGACACATGGTCAGTATGTAAATTAGGGGGAAGCTGGCCAGGGGCCACTGCTTGGGAACTGGCTGGACACTGGTCAGGGGATGGTGGGAAATTGCATCGGGCATCACTTCTTTTGTATGTTCCTTTTTACTTGTACTATTACTTTGCATCCTTTTCTGTTCTATTAAACTGTCTATATCTAAACCCATGGATTGTACTGTTGTTCCCAATTCCCTCCCCCAGCCCGTTGCAGTCCATGAGCAGCTCTGTGGTGCTCAGCTGCCTGCCGGGTTAAACCACGACAGTGTTTACCTACCTTGGGCTGGGCCTCTCCCGCAGCCTCTGCCAGGCCGCTGGTTCCTGCTGCACTAAATCAGTCCTCCCTGAGTCAATGGCTCCTCTCAGTCACTCACAGGAGGTGCAAATCCAGTGGGGCAAATTAAGCACAGAAATGCACAGGCAGAGCAGCCAAGTAGCCAGGAGGCTTCGGCAGCTAAAATTCAAGTGGGTTCAGAAGTTTTTCCTTGCTTTGATTTGCTCAGAGTTTATGCTGAATTCTTTTGAGTATGGCATTTCCTATTTGTTTTCTTCCTCTTCCCTACTGCCCTCCCTTCAGCTAAGCTCATGCCTGTCAGTTTTTGTACAGTCTGTGCCTCGCTTGTGGTTTCTAACATGTGGGGGGTTTGCTTTGCAGTATTTGTGCAGTGAATGCACTGTGCTTTGTAAGTGTGCTGCATTTTCCTCTGGCTGCTGTCAAGGTGTCATGGAGGTTCCCATTGTATGGAAGTGCAAGGGGAACTTGTGAGCCTCCTCATCCAGCAGGGAAACAGAGAAGGAAAATCTGATGTCATATGCAGTTGTGCTTATTTCTGCTTTGGTGTGTGAACTGCATGACTGTTCTTACGTGGATAAGGGACACATCAATGTGACAGAGGCTGGAAGCATCCCTGCCGACAGTCAGGGCTGGCATGTTCCTGTTGAACCCCTGTGAGCTGTGTGTCTGTACTGCATGGCTTCCTCACACCGAGCTGGATGCAGAAACGTGCTGCAGTTACAGCCAGCTCCTGCTTAGCTCCTCCCCAGTCAGACTCAAAATGCCTTTGTCATGGTCATTCAAGGATCTGACTTCAGCACCAGTGACTACCATTACCTCAGTGAGATGACTGAATTACTTACACATGTTCACCTACTGTCATGCAGGTGTACTTCAACACTGGGCTACATCCAGAAGATGCAGCTTGCACCAAGCACTTCCCTATAGCTGAAGTTTGCAATGGTAAGGCTATTGTGGGCTGTGTTTCTCCATGCCACAAAATAAAAATCACCAGGTGGTCCTAGCTACACCTGGCTGCACATGTATTTCTTAGTTATGTCTATTGTTTTCATCCCATGCAGTCATGAAGCTTGCAGAAGGTAGCAACATAGCCTGTAATCTCTTTATAAATTCCAGAAAAGAACTCACAGCTATGTCTCATGACTTACATGAAGGAGGCTGAGGTGTCAGGAACATACACAGGTTCTTTCCCAGCATCTGCTGAGACAAAGGTCTCAGGCAGAGATCTCACTGCAGAGAATTCATCATCCCAAGTGACCTCAGTGGAAACATCTTAACTTTAAACTTTGGTCTTCAGAGTGCAGGATTTCCCAGTGGAGCAATGCATACTCACTGACATCTGCTAAGACAAAATAACCAAGCTCAGAAGAAAGTTGCTCATGATCACAAGGAGTTACTGGGGCCAGCTGAACCTGAGATTGCAGTCAATTGGGCTGTGCCTGAGAAATCCTTGATCAAAGCACACTTCCAGGCTGTGATCTGTAATGGTTGTCAGCTGCAGTCTGCCTTAGTCTACAGCCTAACTGCACCTCGGAGGCAGCCAGCTCCTGCTTGTATCTGCACTGTGGGACTGTCTGCTCAGAACATGTACTCTTTGGTAGGTTCAGGTTTGTTTGTTGTCTTTTTCTACATTTGAAATATATTGCAAACTCTTCTTTTCTCGAAGGTGCTTTCTTTCATTATAAGTAATAATCACAATTACGTTTCCCTAAGGTTAGTCTGTGTTAAGGGTATAGGAACCCTTTGCCTTCCTGCTGATGCATTCCCTCCTTCCCTCCCTGCTGTTTATGACCTGACGGAATAATTTCTCTCACTGATTTGTGGACATTCAAAGGAGTTGCCTAGCCTCTAATTTTATTAACAAGTTTTTATAGCTGTTTTCTTGAAAAAATAAGAGAGTATTGATTAATTATTTTTTTCTTTGCATGCAAATGGGAGGAGAGGCCTGCTCTGGCAGGATGCTGAACATGCTCTGCTACACAGTGCTTTCTGTCACTTACTGGGTTTTCCAGGCTAGCTGCTGGAAATGTCACAGGATTAATTTCAGAATCCCCTAAGGTGCCTGTTGGCTTTGTCCAAAATCATTACTCATTCTCTGCTTTGTACTCATTTTCTGTTACTAAAACACAGTGAGACCTTAGCTGTGTTTGCTGCATTACTGTTAATTTCTATTCTGCTCCAGCTGGACTCCTACCCTTTCCCCCCCAGTATGTTGTGTGAGCACCTTGCACTGGCAGCTGGCAGTGTTCTTCTCTTGGGCATGCTTATTTCATGAGCTAAGTGATGCAAGGAAGCCAGCCACCACCTCCTCCAGGGACACTCCACTACTGGAAATTAGTTGCTTCTGCCTCTTGCTTCCAGTCTTTGATAGTGCAGTGGAAAAATCAATAGCAGACAAATAATTAGACACGATGTCATCCTTGCAGATAGGGAGGACTTGCAGGCAGACAGCAGATCATGTATGTGCCTTAAGAATGCTTTGTGGAGATGGAGTTATGATCCAAGAATGTGCAAATGGCTGCCCATCCCAGTGTTGCGTGCTGTGATGGGGAAGTAGTGCTAAACCATCTCTAGACTTGATTAGTATACAAACACAAAAGACTTGTTTTCTTATGGGGAGGTGGTTGAGGTGATTTTTCTAGGCAATCAAAGAAGAAACTACATGAATGGAATCTTTCTTTACCTTCTATCTGCTGGGGGCTAAAATAAAACTGGAGGGAGCAATATGGTGAGAGCTGGTGGGCTCTCTGAGGAAGGGCACACGTGGGTTCCAACCAGCAGCTGTGTGCAGAGCCTCAGGGAGAAGGACACCTCTGAGCCAGCCAGGAAGGCTGTCTGCTGCCCACTCCTTTCCCAGCAACCACTGTTCTCAGGAAGTAAAAGGTTAGCAGAGGCTATCAGCAGACTACTTTGGTGCAGAGACTTTTTTATGACTGCATTAACAACACTTTTCCTGTTGTTGTACATAAGTTATGGCTCCTAGTGTCAGTGTTGAGATGAAAGCAGAAGCTCTTCTGTGTGGAACAGGCATTAAAAGCTAGTGTAAAAGAAAATTAGTGCTGGCTGCCACCCATTTACTTTCAGATAAATTTGCTTTTGTATTTTAATTATTTTAACACTGTCCATCCATCTCTACTCTTTTGTACGTGGTCAACCACAAGTTTGCCACTGTCCTCTCTCACTGCCTAACCTGGCATCTGCTTCTGTAACCCCTCCATGAGCTCAGATCTCAGACTTACAGGAAAATTTAGAATCGGAGCAGAAAAATGGTGGATAGGATGGGTCTTTCAGGTGAGCAGTGTGTGATAACATGATGTTCTCACATGTTAATGTTTGGTTGTGAGAGGACAGCCTCTGGTTTTAAGGATGTACCCTTGGACAGTCTTTAACAGTGCCATGACAAAATAAAAATCATTTATTAAAATTGTGCCTCGCTTGTGCTGCTAAAAACACTTCTAGATTATACACACTGAAAACAGTAAATATTTAATGTACAGGTTTACTTTTCCTGGTTTATAGAAAGCTCAGTGGGCCTGACAGACCAGCTAGACAGATGTGTTTATAACGTGCTCCCCGGGCAGGTACAATGCTGCAGTGTTTGGCCTGTGAGCTCTGCAGGGATATGCTTAAAAAAATAAAAGTGTTCCATTTACATTGGGGGAAAAAAAATCCTGAGAATGTTTCTATTAATATTAGCTGGTGTAAAATCCCAAACTCTACATTTCAGGCCTTAACATTCTTGAAAAATAGAGGACTGGATGGTAGGGATGTACAGTAAAAGGTGTTTCCTCTCTTATGTAGCCAGGGAAAGGGATAGTCATGGGCAGTTCTTCTGGCAGGAGAAGATGGTTGTTGCTGAAATGCCCCTGATGAGGGTGGAGAGTGCAATGAAGAGTTCAGGAGTGAGCAGGGCAGCAAATCCTGTGCATGGGGAAGCCTGGGTAGAAGGAGATACAGGCCAGAATGTAGTGCTTATGATTTTCTACAGACAAGGAGCTGGTGCTCAGGACCACGGCTGAGATTCTGGATGTTTATCAGGAGGCACATTTCTAAAAGCTGAGAGGAACCAGATGCTCTGGGGAAAGCAAAATGTGCAGAGCCCTCCCCACCCAATAGGTTGGGTACACCTCACACACACACGTGAGATGCTGACAGGAATAGTTGGGAACCCACTTCCACATTCAAGAAGATTTTTTTTTTTTTAATGTTAGTTTTGACATTGGTTGAGATATTTCCTGAGGACCAGCTTCTCTTCCATTATACTGACATTAAGGCTGATATACCTGGTAAAAATTAATGTCATCAATTAATTAGCATACATTGATTAACTGAAACAAGTGACATTTGGGTTTTGAAAGTTCCCAAGCAATGGGTGGCTGCATCTGCCTCTCTCCGATTTCCTCAGAAGTTATCCTTGGTTGAGAAGTGAGTTTATTTCAGTAATCTGATTAAATAGTTGGCAGGTTTTGAAGAAAAAAAAACCCATAAACTTTTAAAAGGAGATCTTGGGCTGATTAACTTCTCATCAAAGATTTCTGTTGAAGAAAAAGTAGAGTTAGGAAGCAGAAGCCTGTCTTAGGCCTAGCTGAGCATTTTATGATTAAATAAAGTAAATTGGAGTAAATTTTTATTTATGTATAAAAAACATTAAGTCATCTCAGGTGTGTTGAGAAAGCCAGGAGTCCTGGGGAGATGGTTTTGCTTTCTCCCAGCTTCACCTGTCAGGACATCTTTCCTGACTGCGGGTGACCTGCCATCCTGGTGACAGATGGGGCCGGGGCTGTCCGTGGGTACCTGTGCAGTGCAGGACAGCACCTCTCCTTCCCAGGGCCTCCCAGCACAGGGGTGAGGGGCTGCCTTTACCTCTGAGCCCTGGCTGCAGCTCCCTTGCCTGCCAGCTCCTTTTGGGACAACGCTGCACAGACCACCTCATTGCCCAGGGAGCACCAGGAAAGGAGGTGCCAGGAGAAAGGGGATCCTGGGCTGAGGACTGGCACTGCCACAGCAGCACTCGGGGCCATTGCACATCCAGGACAAGGGGCAGAGTAGCACCATCTTTCCTTTGCAAGCTGAACCACAGCCCATTTTTCATTTATGGCCCTCTCACAGCTCTTTGCTGTGCATCAGTTGTGAGCACTGGCTCAAGCAAACCCAGCCTTGCTGGACCCAAACTGAGACTTGCTGATTCCAGCAGTCCTGCTGGCCTCAGGCTGCTCCCTGGAGCCACATTCCCTGCATTTATGAGCCCCACATCCCTTGATGCTGGAGTGGCACACAGGGCTGCAGTAAAGCAAAGGCTCCTGCCTGGGCCCCCCAGGGTTAGCAAACAGCACATTAACCCTCTGTGAGACCTGGCAAGGACTGGAGACTCTCAATGGGTTTTATGGACACTCTTGCCCAAGTATCACACATTTAGGAGGCTGCACAGTTGATGCACAGTCAGCTCCTGAAGGGCAGCTGGCACTGTGACAGTAGCCTTAGAAAATGAGCTAATTGTCAGCTCCAGTCTGGATGTCACCACCATTTTAATGCGAATGGACTTTTTCCTCAGTCAGCCTCCTGACTGAATGGGGAGCACAGAAACATCCCAATATTTATGGGATTTTAACTAGATTAGTTAGAAACCTATAAAGCAAAGAAAGAGACAGTTCATCCAGTATTGGGGAGGGGAGTGTTAAAAATGCCACCTCAGATAAAATATTATGGGAGTTGAGTAACTGTAAATAAGAACTTCGTCTATGAAATAGCTTCTTATGTGAGCTTGGGATGAGGGCCAAGAGAATGTCTGGGGTTCAGGGAAATTTATTAGCCCAGATCAACGGGATTTCTGGGACTTGGGAGATGGGATGGCAAAGAATTTGCCTGTTGGAGTCTGCACTTACTCCATTCATGCCTGAAGCAGGGCTTTAAACTTTACAGATGGTTCGTTTGCATGTTTTACATTTTCTTGGTTCTCATTAGCAGCTACAGTTCTGACCTGGAACTTGGGAAAGCTGGGTTCAAGCTCTGGGTTTCCCAAGTCTGC